ATACGCCATCCCATCTGGTTTGCACTTAGTGGGATTATAATTTGTTTTTCAACAGGACAATGACCCAACACACCTCCAGGCTGTGTAAGGACTATTTTACCAAGAAGGAGAGTGATGGAGTGCTGCATCAGATGAATTGGCCTCCACAATCCCCCGACCTGAACCAAATTGAGATGGTTTGGGATGAGTCGGACCGCAGAGTGAAGGAAAAGCAGCCAACAAGTGCTCAGCATATGTGGGAACTCCTTCAAGACTGTTGGAAAAGCATTCCAGGTGAAGCTGGTTGAGAGAATGCCAAGAGTGTGCAAAGCTATCATCAAGGCAAAGGTTGGCTATTTGAAGAATCTCAAATATATTTTGATTTGTTCAACACTATTTTGGTTACTACATGATTCCATATGTGTTATTTAATAGTTTTGATGTCTTCACTATTATTCTACAATGTAGACATTTTGACCGGTAGTGTAAATGTAATTGCTCAAATATACTTAAGTATGAGAAGTAAAAATGTAAATCATTTCAAATTATATTAAGCAAACGGCACTATTTTCTTGTTTTTTACATTTACAGATAGCCAGGGGCACACTCCAACACAGAGACATAATTTATAAAGGAAACGTGTTTAGTGAGTCCGCCAGATCAGAGGCAGTAGGGATGACCAGGGATGTTCTCTTAATAAGTGTGTGAAATAGACCATTTTCCTGTCCTGCTAACCATTCAAAATGTAACGAGTACTTTTGCGTGTCAGGGAAAATGTATGGAGTAAAAAGTACATTATTTTCTTTAAGAATGTAGTGAAGTAAAAGTAAAAGTTGTCAAAAATATAAATAGTAAAGTAAAGTACAGATACCCCAAAAAACTACTTAAGTACTTTACACCATAGGAAGAGACACAGTCACGTGAGATTAAAGTAAAATGTAGCAAATCATTACTCTAGTAAAGGTCTTCTAGTGTTCTAGGCAGTTTTCATAGGGAAAAGTAACTTGACTACACTAGAAGTTAACTCTGTCTTCTTAGAATATAATGATTAGAAACACCTGTCAACTGTGGAAAAGTACTTACTTAGGCCCATTGCCCCATGAGGAGCATAGGCCATCAATGATGCCGGCCTCTCCAGCGAACTCGACATTGGGCAGTTTTCTCCATTTCATTCCAGGAGTAGCCAATCTTTCTGTGGAAATAAGTTGTATTCATTTATTTCATTCATTCGTTCATTCATTTCCAGTCAGTGACATATGGCCATATTTCTTAATCCATTGTTTCATCTTTGACACCTATTCTCACAGTACAAACTGATAATACTATATGTATAAGCAGAGCTGTGTGCGGTGTGCCAGGAGGTGGGTTTGCACAGACAGACAGGAGGCAGGTTTTACAAGATTGATTTATTAACTATAATACAGGTCACGTAAGGCCTTGCTGTATACACCATTCCTATTGAGACAAATAACCATACTCTTAGCAAATAATGACAGCATTTTTATGTGTTTATGTATTTTTTTTTCAGTTTACTTCATTTTATCTTTTATACAGGTTACATTTTTTTCCATTATTTCTTAGTTTTTTAATCTTCTTCTCTTAAATACCGAGAGTGGTCGAGCCCCCTCCCTTGCCTGGGCAAAAATCATGCACTATACTGGGCTGGCCTCTTCACCATTCACAAAATTGTTAAAAAAACGTTTTGTTTTTTTAATTATTAAAAGAAAAAAGAAAAACAATTCTATCACCATTGACTAAAGGGCAAAGTGTTAGACCCCCTAAAATACAAATAAACAACCATTTGAATATAGTTTGCTTGTTTCTCATTTTAACTTAACAGACCATCTGTCACCATTGTTGCAAAGAAAAAGAAAAGCAACGCAGCCATATAAGATCACAGAACCAAAGTCACATTTTTAATACAATTGTTTTTTTCCCCATTTACCGCTTTGCTTCCTCTCTCCCCCACCCTTTTTTTTTAGTCTTTGGCTGCCTCACAGTCTGTTCAGTATTAACACATTGATATACACAGGGAATGCCACTGACCGGCATTTAAAAGTACCAGAGTTTGCCCCCCCATCCCCCCATCTCCCAAATAATGATCCCATTCACCTCTCTCTCGCTCTCGTTCTCTCTCTCTCTCGCTCACTCACTCACTCTCCATCTGTGAAAAGTAAACCTATAGCTAACTAAGAGGATAACTGTGGTCAGGTCCAGCTTACATCAAGTGGGGCAATGACCATGAGGATACATCCATTCTCCACTGTAAGTGACATGGTCTTTCTTTAGGGTTGAGTTACACTGATGTCTGGCTACTGTTGACAGCTCAAATGACATCAGTCCCTAACACAGACAAACAAACATGTCATATAGGTGGTGTATAGTTATAGGAGATCATTGGGTTGGCGTCAGGGTATAACTGGTGATTTGCAGGGAGGCCTGTCAGTCAAGACAATGGGAACTGGAGAGACGGGCATGAGTGTGTAAAGCTGAGGGTCAAAATGAAACGAATTACATGACCTTGGTTTCACTCTTTCTAATGTGTGCGATCAAACAGGTTTCTATGACAACCACAGACAGAACCATGGAATTCCGCAGTCATCAACACAGATGAATAGACTGTCTGTTCTGCTCCATCCTGGAGCGTCTCTCTGGACCAGGGAACGGTGCCGTGTCAAAAGAGGGCAGGGGTACCAAATGGTGCCAACCAGGAAGTGGGACACCAATAAACATATGATGGCACTGAGGGACTATCAACACCACTGGCTGCGTTTCAATACTCTAAACTAGCTTCCTCATCTCCTTTCCTTTGTGTCCATCCTGGTCATACTCAGCTGAATGGATCTGAACAGCTATCCTGAGCCAGCCTCAGTACAAAAACACATGACTACACATCACTACGTACTGCCAACTATCAGAGCACAACTGGACACTAGACTAGTCACTGGACTGTCTGCATCATGGACAGCTGACATGAAAATCTATGTTGTCATACACTCCTTCAACACTAACTCTGGAGAGTATATATCTCTAGCAAAGTGCTGGCAGCCTAGCAACACAACAGATATGATCATCATCCATAGGCTAATCTCAATGCAGTTCATATGGCTTTCATAGTATAGACTCTCCATCTACGTTATATACAAATAATTCCTATTGGGCATTTGACTTGACATTCAATAGATAAATATGGGGGATTACGCATGTAGAAAGATCTGTTACACCCAAGGTGGGGGTGGAGAGAATAGTGTTACGCCCATGCAGTGGTGGGTGAGGTCATAGCTGCAGTAACTATGTTGTCCACCAGATGGCAATGGTGTGTTCTCAGAGAGATGGCTACATGACTTCACAACGCATTAGATGTGGTGAGAAACTGTTATGTCGCACTTCTCACTAAAGAGGCTCCCAAAAGTGCTCTGCAGTCTCTCAATCTCAATAAACTTCAGAGAGCTCTACACTAATGATTCTCCCGCTCTCTACCATATTAGAAGCATGTGCACGCACACACACACTCACACACACACACACACACAAAGGTCATGCTCCCATGTCTCTCCAGGCTTCCAAACCCCTCATGGGTAACAGGAGGAAGAGGGAATTCCCTGCCACCACTTCCCAATGCCTCCTGGGATCCTTAAGGGAATCGTTATGGCTGTTCCTCTCGGCATTCCGTGTCGAAGAGCCTAAATGCTTTTCAGATTCTGTAAAGTGCATCCCTGAATCCCACCCCTTCCCAATCCCTATCCCTCCTAATTCTCCCTGCCAGTTATTCCCTCCCTTCACAGAGAGCACAAGGGCCAATAAGAAGTAAGCATGGACATCTGACAGGAGGGACTTGCTGTGTGAGAGTGCATTCTGATTGGTCAGTCATCAACGGAACACTCTCCAAAACTGATCCACAGTTTCAAAAGCAAAATGGAAGCATAGGGTGGAAAGAGAGAAAAAAGGTGGAACAACATTAAACATCAGGAAGAAACAGGGGGTAAAGACATCCTCTTTAATCAAAAGAAAAACAGAAGTCTTCCAGCATTGCCTGGAGGCTCCGGGGCATGGGGTCAGAGAAGAGAGAGAAGAATAGAGGAGCTCTCCCAAGATGCAGAGGATGTGAGAGCACCCAAAGTTCTGTGCTCCAGCCTCCCTGCAGATCCAGTTAGTTGAGACTTTTGTTCTTAGCGTTAGCTCTGGTTGTAGCAGACCCTGAAGCGGAGGGGTGGGGGTTTAGGAAGTATTTTGAAGTGGAAGCTAGTCCATGGGGGAAGAGGTGAAGCCTGCCTCTAGTCCATTTCCTGGTAACAATGGTCAAATAAACACAGAGAAGCTACTGGTCCTCCCTTCACCTGGATTAACCTGGGGGGACAGGGCAGTCGCTGGCAATCCATAGCCCGATCGCGGTGAGGGGTGGCTGGGCAAGGCAGGTGGGGCGCTGGTGAGTGGTTTTAGAGTCCAGCTAGAAGGTCCATACAGTTCATGTTCCCTCCCACAGATACCTTGCCTGGCTACGGTCAGCAGTTCTGAGGTCTCTTATGGTTGGGGAGGGACATGACACATGGTGTTTCCTGGGTGTTACTCCCTCACTGAGCCCAAATGACATGGGCTGGCGACACAGGGGTGTCTGGGTGAGGCTCCAGTGGGAGGGCAGCAGAGTGTGTGTGTGTGTTGGAGGGGGAGGTACTCACTAAGGCAGTGGAGAAGGGGGCAGAAGAAGTGGTAGAGAGAGAAGAGTCAAGAGACTACATGTTCTACTAGTGGCTCACTACCCTGCGTAGTGTGTGTGTGTATATCCTTAAACGCAATGGGGGTTGGATAACCCCCTCTCCCAACAGTTTTTCCCTATATGTACTGCATCTCACTCACCCGCTCATCTCTTTTGCTTTGCCGGTCTCTCAAACTCATTCCCTTCTCTTTCTCTCCATATTTCTCACCACTTACACTTCTCTCTCACCGCTCCCTCATACCTAGCTCTGAATCTCAAACTCCTTCCATCTCTATCTCTAATCTCTCTCTTTCCTTCCATCCCTGGTTCACAGCATGTGTTGTTCCGTGGGGGGGTGATGGGGGTGCAGGGGAGGCAGCAGGGCCTGGATGGGGGACTGGGGGGTGTGGGGCGGGGACTGCTGGATCTGGGTATGGGGCGGCCCGTAGTGGGGGATGACGGGCGGCGTGGTGGGCATAACGTAAGGGGCCGGAGCGGGTGTGAGGGAAGGAGAGTTGTAGGCCAAGGAGGAGTAGGCCGAGGTTCCCCCGTGGGAGGAGAGGGTGGCAGTGGGGGAGGCGTGCCCGCTAAGGGTGTCAGACAGGGGCTGATTGTAGAAGAAGAAAGCACACTGGTGGATGAAGGACTCGATGATTGTCTGGTAGGTCCGCGTGGCCGTCAGGGCATCCATAGTGGTGAAGTCGGGCCGCATCAGAGTAGGCCAGAAACAGATGGACAGATTCTCACTGGTCATCAGGTTCAAACGGTTATTCTGGCTCACCCTGAGGGAGGGTTAAGGGAGAGACAGAGAGATAGAAAACACAATGTAAATTGAAATAAATCATAAAGTAACAGTCTAGAAATCTAAACTCTGCAGTGTTTGTGCTATGACTCAATTGACTGAATTTAAAGCTGACTCAATGGAGCCAGGGGTATAGCGGGCAGGGTGGAAGGTCAAAGGTCGCGGGGTGGATGACTGTTACTGTAGTCAGCATGGCTGTCACAGCCCTGTCACCTAGCCACTCACTTGTTCAAGTGGTTGATGACGTATTTGAAGACGTCGTAGTTTTCCCTGGGGAAGCGGCGCAGGATGTCCTTCATGGCGTGAACCCGCTGATCCCTATCATTGATCTCTGATTGGGCGACAAGAGACAGGAGAGGTTAGAGAGGAAGAATGAAAGAACATGAATGCACACACACAACCAGACAAAGGCCACACACATGCAGGGACGGGGAGGGGGGGGAAGCATGGCACACACTGACACAAACTGAAATCACAGCTGAGAGTCAGCGATGACTTAAAGCATAGCAGTGATCACACACACAGTTATAAACCCATACACACATGAACACACACAGGTCCTCTGGGTGTGCTGAGCCCAATGGTAGGAGTGAGTCAGACAAGCTATCAGCACTCCAACACAGCCAGTCTTGTGTGGCTCCATGTGTGCGAGGCAGATGGAGTCACTCTCTCACACACACACAGCATTTCACGTTATCCAGCTCCTTCTTCAAACCCAGTCGTGTTCACTTCTTCTGCAGTCTACAGTCATACACAGAGTTCTGCAATCCATCCTGTAATTGTTACTTTTTGAACTACTCTTTAAAACAGTGTGTGTATGTCTCTCTCCTGCTGCAGGCTGCAGGGTTTTATCAGGGTTTTGTCACAGCTCAGGGGCCTCGCTCACACGCACACACTGCTCACTGAGTGATGGCCGCCCTCCGGAGTAGAGGTAAATCTCTGGGCCGCGACCCTACACCTTAAATCTACACGACAACGGATTACAAAACTCAATGGGAGTGACAGACGGGAGTGGAAAGAAGTGCACTTGTTAATCTAACATTCTGTATGAATTTGGTTTGTCTTTCTTCACAGCAAATGTGTGCGTCTTCCAGTGGAGGTTCCTCAGAGGAGGAAGGGGAGGACCATTCTCCTCAGTGAATTTTCAGTGAAAAAGTTATCCTTTTTAGATAAAACTATACTAAATATATTCACGTCACTAAATAATTGATTAAAACACACTGTTTTGCAATGAAGGTCTACAGTAGCCTCAACAGCACTCTGCAGGGTAGCACCATGGTGTAGCCGGAGGACAGCTAGCTTCCATCCTCCTCTGGGTACATTTACTTCAATACAAAACCTAGGAGGCTCGTGGTTCTCACCCCCTTCCATAGATTTACACAGTAATTATGACAACTTCCACGGGACGTCCTCCAACCTATCAGAGCTCTTGCATCATGAACTGACATGTTGTCCACCCAATCAAAGGATCAAAGAATGAATCTAGTACTAAAAGCATAAAATGTGGTGAGTAGTTGACTCAAAGAGAGAGAAAGTTAATTTCTTCAAAAATGGAGAAGCAAGAGAGAGAGATTGCTATATTTAGTTGTATTTATTTTCTCTTACATAGCTAGTGAATGTAGCTAGCTAGTTTAGCCTACACAAACACCTGGCTCAAACAGAGAGGGAAGCTGTTAGCTAGCTGGCTATGGCTACCAAACACTGGAACTCTAAGTCAAGGTAAGGGCCCGCCGGTGTAACTGATAAACTGCTTGCTGCTGACTGTACACTGTACTGCATAATTGTAGCGGGTTTACTAACGCATTAGTTCTAGTAGCTATGTTGACCATGACGTTAATATGGTGACAACAATGTAGGCTGCTGTGTGGAGTGGTTAGTGGTTATGATATGAAGGTTTGCTTGTAAAGGTTTTTTCGCCCGGTCATAGACAGCTGATGTGTTGTGCACTGAAGTCCACAAGCGAAGGGAAAAGGTGAGAGGAGGAGAGCGGGTAGATGCGAGAAGGAATTATACAATGATCAAAGGAATCATGCTGTTTGTATGTGGCTGCTATGAAAGTGAACTGTGTTTGCGTGTGATCCGCTGATTCGGTTCAAACATTTCTTAAATGGAAGCAAACGGAATGAAACTGGATAAACGTACCTGAATATGTATAATAGAAAACTATTGTTTGCAACTGTTGGACTAATGTTTACACTCTAGATCAGCTAGATGCAGGCAAGAGAGTGCAAGGTGGTATTGAATGTGTCAATGTCTGTTACCTTGATTACTCAAATTTCTCTAGCCCTGTTCACTTAAGTTGTAAACTTTCATTCCTAGGTTGTAGCAACCTCCTGAAGAGTATAGGGAAAATTGTAATATCATGTAGTAGCCTAAACCTATCGATGTTACATTGAGCTAGGTGAATGGAATATGAATGACAGCCATCCAATATGCTGTAATAGAAATAAGGCCCATAAAAAAAAGTGTCCTCCCTCATCTTAAAATGGCACTGGTTTCTTCATAGAGACCAAGTAGGTTGAGCAAGGACAACCCTTTCTCTCCCCAGCCCCAGACCCCCTCTCCCCACCCCAGCCCCTCTCTCCCCAAACCTCTTTCCCCAGCCCCCCTTTCTCCACCCCTCTCCCCAGCCCCATGTCTTACTGAATGCCTCCACCAGTTCGATCTGATGGCTGTAGGGCACCAGGGGTTCAGGCAGCTCAGAGAAGAAGGCCTTCATGGCCCCGGCCACTGTGTTGATAGTGAAGTCCTTCTCCACCAGGTCCAGGTTATGGTCTAGCAGGGAGACAGAGAGACAGCGACAGAGGGATTCATTAGAATAAGACATGAAAGAGACACCTGATTTAGGATATGATCTGCAAGAGACAATATGAAACACGTGTACACACACACACACACAGTCTGCCTTAAACTCATTTTTTTTACTGCTATAGTATCACCCCACCTGGTGATAGACTAAAATACCTGAATAAACAACCAACAACACCAGCACACAAAGTTCTGCTCATCCCATTAGAAGGAACTGCATCCAATTGGCTACAGCTCCTCAGTGAGTCTCTCTTATTCAGTGTGGCAGCTCAGTATAAGTGACCACATGGGAGAGAGTGGGAATGAGGTTGGCAGCACCAGAAGCACAACTGCTGAATAAAACTATAAACCAAGAGTAATCACAGGCGTCGCCTGCCCCACTGACATGGGCTTGTTGTACAAAACACAGAGAAAGAGCGTGAGAGAAGGAGGGGAGGAGAGAAGGAAGGGGGTGAAGGAGGGGAAGAGAGAAGGAAGGGGGTGAAGGAGGGGAGGAGAGAAGGATAAGGAAATTAGACTATTAAACCCTTCTCTGATGACTCTCTCCTATCTATAACAAATGTAGAGGAAGGGAGGCATGGAGATGGGGGGAAATAGAAAGGAGGGGGGGGGGGGATTGAGAGAGAGCGATGGTGAGGGGATAGCAAGGAGGAATGAAAAATAGATGGAAAAGAGAGAGTGGAGGAAAATAGGACCTGTTGTGTTCATAACAGACCAGCTTCAGTGATAACACTGGTCCCAAGTCAGTTCTCACCCAGTAATGCCTAGTGCTATCCGGTTCAGACCTGTTTTCAGACCAGGCCTCAGAGTGAGCTCCAGATCTCAGTGCTCCTAGAGCCCGGTTCAGATACAACAGCCGACATAAGGAGAGACGAGACCAAACTAGCCAGTTTTAGAATTTTGTGTTGAAGAACAGTTGACTAAAGACAGGGCATTCAGATCAAGAAGACGATACGGGCAGTTGAGACTGTTTCCACGGTAACAGTAAATCAGTGACTCGAGACAACTTTGATACAAAGTACAAAGTTGCCACTTGTTGTAGAACGGCGTTGTAGAAAACAAGTATCATGAAATACATGCACCAGAAACAGGGCACACTTTGTGACTTTTCAGATAAATATCAGTAAGCTAGGCTCGCTAACAGCAGCAAAATAGCTAGCTAGCAGTCTGCTTGGCTAAACACAGAACGTCAGCGCACTGCTCTCTGATTGGCTAAACGGATCCGTCTCATCCCAAGTCTTTAGCTAAGATTTGACATGTTGAACCTTGGAAACTCCAACAGCCGACATGAGACGTTCTAAAACTAGACGCTTCAGATCAAGAAAACCTAATTCTAAAACTGCATAAAACCGTCTCGTCTGTTGGATCTGAACTGGGCTTTAGAGATCTCCGACACAACAGGTGTGGTTCTAACGCTATGGGTTACCTGTGCTGTAAGGGGTGGCTAGGTGATAGCTGATTTGTGGCTATGGTCTACCTGTGCTGTAATTTTAGATGTAATTGTATTGTCACCTTGGTCTAGTGTCCTGATCGATTGGACACAGGACTTCGCTTCTGATTACCTCAGCTGGATTCAGCCTCACTGATGTGCGCGCACACACACACCAATGTGCAGTGGTATATACCAGCGAGCATGCTTCATTAACCAAATCAATCTGGAGGTAATTAACGGCCCACACCACACATACGCATGGACACACACAGAGAAGCTACGCTATGGTGTGAGAAAGGCCTATCCTTCCTGTAGATCAATGCTACAGATGCTCCCAGGTTAATTAGGTGAATCCATTGGACAACAGGCTTCTGGATAGATACAACACACTAACACTGCACCTATGTGGCCTGTTTGTGCCTAGTTATGTGAGTTTGTGTGTGTGCCTGTATGTGCATAGGTCAGTATGTGTACATGTAGGCACCGACTACGGGTGGCATGGGGTCTGACAACCCTACAATAATTACACTCAGTGGCCAGTGTACTAGGTACACCCATCAAGTACTAGGTCAGACCCCCCTTTGCCTCCAGAACAGCCTGAATTCTTCAGGGCATGGAAACGTTGCTCAATTGGTATCAAAGGGACCTAACGTGTGACAGGAAAACATTCCCCACACCATTACACCAGGATGGGGCCATGGACTCATGCTGCTAATGCCAAATCCTGACTCTGCCATCAGCATGACGCAACAGGAACCAGGATTCGTCGGACTAGACAATGTTTTTCCACTCCACAATTGTCCAATGTTGGTGATCACGTGGCCACTGGAGTCGCTTCTTCTTGCTTTTAGCTGATAGAAGTGGAACCCAGTGTGGTCGTCTGCTGCAATAGCCCTTCCGTGACAAGGACTGACGAGTTGTGCGTTTACGGAATGTAGTTCTGCGCCGTTATTTGCCTGTGGCCCGCCTGTTCGACCTATCATCAACGAGCTGTTTTCACCCACAGGACTGCCACTGACTGGATGTTTTTTGTTTGTCGTACCATTCTCTGTAAACCCTAGACCAGCTTGCAGGGGTGCACGTTTTGATTTCTGGTCAAACACTACACAGCTGATTCAAATGATCTAAGCTTGATGATTAGTTGATTATTTGAATCAGCTGTGTAGTGCTAAGGCAAAAAACTAAACCTGCACCCCTTGGGGTCCCGAGGACCGAGTTTGGGAAACCCTGCCCTAGACACTGTCGTGCGTGAAAAGCCCAGTAGGATAGCAGTTTCTGAGATACTGGAACCGGCGCGCCTGGCACCGATGATCATACCACACTCAAAGTCACATGTTTTGCCCATTCTAACGTTCAATCGAACAGTAACTGAATGCCTCGATACTTGTCTGCCTGCTTTATATAGCAAGCCACGGCCACATGACTCACGGTCTGTAGGAGCAAACCATTTTCGTGAACGAGGTACCTAATAAACTGGCTGTGAGTGTACATTGTAGCATACTGTTGATCATTCATATTGTTGGTGTGTGTGTGTACAGTGAGGGAAAAAAGTGTTTGATCCCCTGCTGATTTTGTACGTTTGCCCACTGACAAAGACATGATCAGTCTATAATTTTAATGGTAGGTTAATTTGAACAGTGAGAGACAAAATCACAACAAAAAAATCCAGAAAAACGCATGTCAAAAATGTTATAAATTGATTTGCATTTTAATGAGGGAAATAAGTATTTGACCCCTCTGCAAAACATGACTTAGTACTTGGTGGCAAAACCCTTGTTGGCAATCACAGAGGTCAGATGTTTCTTGTAGTTGGCCACCAGGTTTGCACACATCTCAGGAGGGATTTTGTCCCACTCCTCTTTGCAGATCTTCTCCAAGTCATTAAGGTTTCGAGCCTGACGTTTGGCAACTCGAACCTTCAGCTCCCTCCACATATTTTCTATGGGATTAAGGTCTGGAGACTGGCTAGGCCACTCCAGGACCTTAATGTGCTTCTTCTTGAGCAACTCCTTTGTTGCCTTGGCCATGTGTTTTGGGTCATTGTCATGCTGGAATACCCATCCATGACCCATTTTCAATGCCCTGGCTGAGGGAAGGAGGTTCTCACCCAAGATTTGACGGTACATGACCCCGTCCATCGTCCCTTTGATGCTGTGAAGTTGTCCTGTCCCCTTAGCAGAAAAATACCCCAAAGCATAATGTTTCCACCACCATGTTTGATGGTGGGGATGGTGTTCTTGGGGTCATAGGCAGCATTCCTCCTCCTCCAAACACGGCGAGTTGAGTTGATGCCAAAGAGCTCCATTTTGGTCTCATCTGACCACAACACTTTCACCCAGTTCTCCTCTGAATCATTCAGATGTTCATTGGCAAACTTCAGACGGGCCTGTATATGTGCTTTCTTGAGCAGGGGGACCTTGCGGGCGCTGCAGGATTTCAGTCCTTCACGGCGTAGTGTGTTACCAATTGTTTTCTTGGTGACTATGGTCCCATCTACCTTGAGATCATTGACAAGATCCTCCCGTGTAGTTCTGGGTTGATTCCTCACCGTTCTCATGATCATTGCAACTCCACGAAGTGAGATCTTGCCTGGAGTCCCAGGCCGAGGGAGATAGACAGTTATTTTGTGTTTCTTCCATTTGTGAATAATCGCACCAACTGTTGTCACCTTCTCACCAAGCTGCTTGGCGATGGTCTTGTAGGCCATTCCAGCCTTGTGTAGGTCTACAATCTTGTCCCTGACATCCTTGGAGAGCTCTTTGGTCTTGGCCATGGTGGAGAGTTTGGAATCTGATTGATTGATTGCTTCTGTGGACAGGTGTCTTTTATACAGGTAACAAACTGAGATTAGGTAACAAACTGAGATTAGTGCTCCTAATCTCAGCTCGTCACCTGTATAAAAGACACCTGGGAGCCAGAAATCTTTCTGATTGAGAGGGGGTCAAATACATATTTCCCTCATTAAAATGCAAATCAATTTATAAAATTTTTGACATGTGCTTTTCTGGATTTTTTTGTTGTTATTCTGTCTCTCACTGTTCAAATAAACCTACCATTAAAATTATAAACTGATCATTTCTTTGTCAGTGGGCAAACGTACAAAATCAGCAGGGGATCAAATACTTTTTTCCCCTCACTGTATATGTGTGTGTTGTATTGAATGTTTACGGTCAAAAGAGAGGTTCTGGTGACTCACCCTGGTCAAACTGCCTCTGCATGCTCTCCATCTCTGACTTGTTCCCACTCACCCTGTAGATCCCTTCAGTAGTGATACCTGAGACAGAGAGAGAGAGAGAGAAGAGAGACACACGAGAGAGAAAGAGAGAAAGAGAGAGAGAGAGAAAGAGAGAAAGAGAGAAAGAGAGAAAGAGAGAGAGAGAGAGAGAGAGAGAGAGAATAGGGAGAGAGAGAGAGAGAGAGAAGAGGGAGAGAAGAGGGAGAGAAGAGAGATTCAGTACACTTTATCCACCTGATGCTTTCAACATTACATTTTTCATCAATCCAACTCAGTCAGAACACACCCTCCCAGACATCAATAACAACACAAGTCCTCCTATAGCCTCTGCGTAAGTACTTCCAAAAGAGAGTGCTGTCAGAAGCAGTGTTCTATGCAGAGATTGTGTAGTAATGAAACAACAGACAGTGGAGACTATTAGTGGCCTGGCCTTGTGTACCCCCCCCACCGAGACATATCATAAGCACTATCAATGAAACTCAGAAAGTGCTCCGGTGCCTTGTGTCCTACTGGGGCTACTATAGTTCAAGATCCATAAAAATGACTTAATGAACTCTGGTCCCATGTGTTCATCATCCCTCTCTTTCTCCTCCCCTCTTTGCTTATCATCCTCCCCTCTCTCTGCAATCCATGCCTTTCCCACAGACATGGAGAGGACAAGGGTGTGGACAGACAGTGAGGGAGCTAGAGAGGAGACAAAGACAAATCCCGAGACAGGGAGAGGCGGTAGGAAATGAGGCTCTCACTCAAGACGAGCGGCATCGATCCCCTCCTTCTGCCGATCAATTATCCACAAAAGCTTTTCTAGCCAGACTCAAGGGGAACAAGGGATGGAGAGAGAGATAGAGGGGGGAGGAGGGAGACAGAGGGGGGAGGAGGGAGACATAGAAGAGAATAGCAAAAGAAGGAGAGGAGGAAGAGACATACTATATAATAATACATGCCATTTAGCAGAGGCTTTCATCCAAAGCGATTTACAACAGTGAGTGCAAACACTTTCGCATTAGTGGCCCCAGCAGGAATCGAACGCACAACCCTGGCGTAGGGCTGTTACAGTTAACCGTATTACCGCTACATTGGCAGTCACGAAGCATGACCGGAGTCACAAGTCATGACCACAGTCAAATTCCACGTGACCGCTGAGTCACGGTAACTAGGCTTCTCCAAAACTGCGCTCTGATGCTGCTGATGGTCATTAGTGGCCTACCAAACTTGCTAACGGTCAGTCGCTAATGGCCTGTCGCTAATGGTCTGGTACTCCATGCTCTATTGTCCCTCTAATCACTCCGACATCAATGCAAATGAAATCGGAAATCAATCAAACACTTAATGAGAGCCCTGGCATTCAGAGTTTGAGCGGAATAGGATCACCTGTTGCGCAGCTAGAGCCAGCTCCTCATAGCTGGTTGATGCATGGAATTAAATAAGTGTTCCTATAGCCCCATGTTGAGCAACATTTCTATAGGCTATGCTGTGCAATTGCGTGAGAAAACAGAGTTTTGATGGCCTCTATTAAAAAGAGGAGGATCCCATCAGCTTTCTATAAGCTAGGCCTATTATATACTATATATTTCTCTACTTTCCTATTATTAAGCACATTGCTTTGCTTTATAACTGGAGTAGCCTACCTGACTGGAATAAAAATGAACTGTGGGAAAAGCGTCCTCCATTCGCTATTCAAGTGTATACGGATGACATGTCTTTTTTTCCAAAGCCCCTGTTCCAACAGGTGCATGATAATGGCCCATTCTAAATCTAAACTAATTTGCACATATATTATTTAGTGTATGTAAAGATAAGACAAAATTGAGAATAGTCGGTTGGGTGAGAATATTATCACTTGTGAATGATGCCCAGCGTGTGCAGTCTAAGGCAAGAAACAGCGCATGCCATATTTCTGCGACTTTTCCAAATCAAAGTCACATGCATCATGTAGCCTAGCCCATAGGCCTATATGTTTTGTTAAGGTTTGTATCACAACTAAAGTGGCCAAATAACTTCAAACGTAATCTGTATGCTTAGGACCCCTGGAACACATTTGTACAGCCCATAGCCTACAGAGAGTCTAATGAAACCTGGCATATTAAAAACGTAACCACACATTACCTCCATTCGAGTGCAGGATATGGCTGACGTTTATTTTGTGGGCCATTGTAAATAAAGAATTATTCCACATATACACTGAGTATACAAAACATTAAGAACACCTGTTCTTTCCATGACATAGACTGACCAGAAAAAGCTATGATCCCTTATTGATATCACTTAAATCCACTTCAATCAGTGTAGATGTCTGCTAAATGACTAAAATGTAAATGAAGGGGAGAAGATTTTTAAGCCTTGAGACAATTGAGACATGGATTGTGTGTGTGCCATTCAGAGGTTGAATTGGCAAGACAAAACATTTAAGTGCCTTTGAACGGGGTATGGTGGTAGGTGCCAGGCGCACCAGTTTGTGTCAAGAACTGCAACGCTGCTGGATTTTTCATGCTCAACCATTTCCAGTGTGTATCAAGAATTGTCCACCACCCAAAAGGACATCCAGCAAACTTGACAACTGTGGGAAGCATTGGAGTCAACATGGGCAGCCTGGTCCTCTCTAGGTTTCTTCCTAGGTCTCTGCCTTTCTAGGGAGTTTTTGCTACCACCGTGTTTCTACATCTGCATTGCTTGCTCTTTGGGGTTTAAGGCTGAGTTTCTGTATAAACATCTTGTGATTTAAAAAGGGCTTTATAAATACATTTGATTTGATATATTGGTAGGTAAAGACCAGATTAAACTGAGAACAGTCTGATGGGTGAAAATATTATCAAGTGCTTGTCAAATTGTGAATTAGAAACTGATGAAGTGTGTGCAGCCTGCACAAGAAACAAATCAGAGCTCATGCCTTTCATGCAACTTTTTTCAAAACATCATTAGTCGCATCATGCAGCCTTAGAATGTATTACAAATCAAAACATAGAGCCTAACGTTTGTATCACAACTAACATTGCATAAATAACTAAATTAAGTTATAGAAGGACCTGTTTCTTTGTTAACTACTCAACACAGAATAGCCGCATGTGCGCACACTCCCTTGGAAATCATTTGGGGAAAATATCCTTTCTATTTTATTCAGCTATGTTCAATTGTATTCTTCTTACTATAAAATAATGCCACGGAAATTATAAGCAAATCTTGGCTGCTAACTGAACTAGTGTAGCCCACAGCCATATGGCATAGCCAGATCAGGGCCTAACATAAGGACGACTCAGAATATGCTATTCTGTTCTTCTGAAATAAGCTACATTTTCTTCACATCATGTTTCTTTAAACCTGCCTAAAATAAATAATGGATTTATTGTTATGATGTAGGCATGACAATCACCGGCTGACAAAATGTAATGACCGCCACTGCCCTACTCTGGCATGCTGCCTTCACGCTCTTAACCATACAGAGCCAGAGTGAGGTAACAAGGACAGGGGAGGGAGGGGGAGAGAGATATAGAGGGAGGATGGCAGTCGAAATGCAGAGGTCAGAAAGTGTGATGTAGAGGTTAACTTCCATCACCCTCTTTGTTCTGAGAGCAGCTCTGGACCGGTTTCCTTTCCTCTGCTGCGACCGGGGTCAAACCAAAACACTAGCACTTCCTGTGTACAGGTCATCTACATCCTGTCTGAGCGATCATCTCCTGCTTCTACAGGACTATCCCATCTTATCACATAATCCTGACATTATTATATATTTTTTTCAATTTTCTTCCCCTCATCGCTTTGTCTTTTACCACCTACAGTATATCATCGGCATCATCAAGTGACGTCCCAAACACACACATCCACGATAAGCATTAAACTTATGAGAATGTTCGACCAGCTCTCGCGCTCTACCGAACACTCATTCATCATTACAATTCATGACAACTGCTGTGAAAAGAAAAAACACTCACTCGACAGACAGACAGAGAGAGAGAGACAGAGAGAGAGAGGCAGTTGGCTCCGGAGTTGACTCCGGAGGTGCGTTGGCACAGCGTCACTGACAAGGGTCAGACTGATCCTGAGCCCAGATGTGGGGTTTTTCTCAGGGTCCCGTTGCTGCCGGTAACAAGCAGCCGTTTTCATAGACCACCACGGAAACACGGCATCACTGGCTGCTGCCCTTTACGTCGCTATGGAGCTAGCTAAAACGAGGAGACGTGCTCACACATGCTAACACGCATTCATCATCTCAATACCCACAAGGAGAACACACAACTCACTGAGTGGAAATAGAAACATTACTCCGTATGGAGACTGTGGAAGGGATGGAGAGCGAGAGAAAGAGAGACGGTGGAAGAGAGAAAGTAAGATCAGAGGAAAAGAAGTGGGAGTAGAAAAAGGAGGAAGTGCAAAACAAGAGGACCGAAAGGGAATAAGAGTAGCAAAGGTGTGAGGGAGGAGAGAGGGAGAGACTGCTGGAGGACGAGTGGGGGTGGAGAGAGCGCCCTTACACAGACATTGAGAGGGGGATCGAGGAAGGATAAGAGAGGATGTGTATAGGAGAGCAGTGGGCAGCTCAGACAATACGCTAGGGTGGGTATGTATTTTTGGTATAGGGTGAGGGAGAGGGGAAGGATGTGGGTCTGCTCCATACCGTCACTTATCCCCCTAACGCCCTGGACACGGTTAGAGTTACAATCATAGGGTCATCCTCTGCCTCTCCTCTGTCATACTCAACAAAAGAGGGGGGCACAAGGAAGACACAGGCACACCCGCAAGTACACACAGACACACACGTCTGACCTCTAACTACGTTTATAGTTTACAGAAATAATATTACAGTACACTACCATAATAAGTCAACGTGAACGTGTTGGTACGTGTTAAATAACAAGCTCTGGACACTAACACCATTGAATGTCACGATGCCGTAATGAACAAAAATGTCACATTGGCAACAACATCCTTAAATAGCCTCCGTGACTTATAAAACTGGACAGCACATTTCAGTTTGAGTCGGAGTGTATATGTCAATGTGTGAGTTAGAGTAGGACTGTGTGTTTTACATTGAGACGTGTTTCTAGTGTGTCAAAAGCATTTAGGTGTGTCACCATCTGAGCGCGTTTGTGTGTGTGCATATTTTTGTGCATGCCTTTATTTATTCATGTGTGTGTGCACTGACTCCATAGTGAGAGTGTAATCAGAGGATGTGGCTAAGGGCTGTGTGTTGTATTGCTGCAGTGTGCTCCTCCTCCCTCCCGGTGCACACAGAGAAAAGAGCTGAGCCCAAAGGTTGTTCTAATTTCCTGCTCTGTGATATTGATCTGAAGGAGGGAGCTATCGGACTGAAGATTACCACTATCCCACTGCCTCTGAACACAGACAGAGACAGGGGCATTGGCATCACACAGGAGAGAGAAACTGGGAGGAGAGAGAGACAGAGAGAGAGTGTGAGAGACAGAGCGAGACAGAGCGAGAGAGAGAGAGAGTAACCATTTTTCAAGGTTTCAAAGACCTCTCTGATGAGAATAGGCTACCCGTCCTGTTGGGGGAGGAGGCAGAGAGCTGTGGGTTGGCAGTGCACTACATTGCTGCCTGCCATAAGATGAGGGACAGTGTCTGACAGACCAACCAACCTGCACATGTCCTCTATATTGTTATTGTTCAATGGTTATTTTGACCCTTGGTTATTGTCGTTACTGTTGTCCCGTTGACAATATTGATTATTATTATTTTAATGATGTTAATAGTGTAAATATCCAAAGTAAGATTTGGCAATATGTACATTGTTACGTCATGCCAATAAAGCAAATTGAATTGAAAGAGAGAGAGGCAGAGGGAGAGAGAGAGAGAGGCAGAGAGAGAGAGCAGAGAGAGAGCGAGAGAGAGGCAGAGAGGGCAAGGAAAAGAGATGGGGGTATAGAAAAACTAAGCAGATGAGGACAGTGGGTGAAAGAAAGAGACTAGATGGAGAGGGGCAAAGGAGGACACAAGGGAATCTGCAGCGGAAGAGAGGAGAAAATGTATGCACTCACTAACTGTAAGTCGCTCTGGATAAGAGTGTCTGCTAAATGACTAAAATGTAAAAATGTAAATGAAATGGTGGATTAGGTGAAAATGGGGGGGGGGGGGGGGGGTGGCAAGCAGGAGGGAAACCACTCTGCCCCCTTGTGGTAACTAAATGCACTCAGGTTGGCGAGGGTGACAGTAAGAGCCTCACTGGTGCCCTGACTCAAGTGCGTATCTCTGCCCCCTTTACCCACACATAGCAGCACAGAGGCATCTGATTTTAATCTGTGTGTGGGAATGGTTTGATCAGACAAGAGATTGACCAGGAATGCACTGCCAAAAATGTCAATAAGGCATGTCATTGCTTTGGCATCCACATACAAACACAAACACGCAGAATACTGTGATCTCAATTGAGCATTCTACACGGAATGCTCTCATTTGCAACATGGAATAATTTTTTCTGCTTGAGTATCAAAGGTGTTCCATATAATAATGCCCCTGTGTATTCAGACCTGTCACTTCGACCACCTTCCCGAGACGCGCACACACGTTAGTCTCCTAGGGTGCATGAGTAACAGCTGGTGTTAGGCTGAGCGACGTGCCCCTTGTGGGCCCAGGGCAGTGAGGTAGCATGAGGGGCATTAGGGCAGAGTGTGGCAGCAGTGTTAACTGAGCACAGGCCCATCTGTGTACCCAGTTCCACAGGGACACACATAGAGAGAGAGAGAGAGAAAGAGAGAGAGAGAGAGAGAATGAGTGAGAGACACAGAGAGAGAGAGAGACTCAGAGCAAGAGAGAGAGACAGACAGAGAGAGAGAAAGAGAGACACAGAGAGTGACACAGAGAGAGCGAGAGACAGAGAGAGAGAGACAGAGAGAGCGAGAGACACACAGAGAGATAGACACAGAAAGAGCGACAGAGAGAGACACCCAGAGAGAGGAACACAGAGCCAAAGAATCACACAGAGCGAGAGACACACACAGAGAGAGAAGAACAGAACAGAGGACAGAGAGAGAACACAAGAGACATAAGAGACACACACATAGAGAGAGACACACATAGAGAGAGAACACATAGAGAGAGACAAATAGAGAGAGCGAGGAGAGAGACACAGAGACATGAGAGAGAGACAACACAAGAGGGGAGGAAACAGAGAGAGAGACACACAGAGAGAGAAGAGACGACAAAAGAGAGGGAAAGAGACACACAGAGAGAGAGAGAGAGAGAGACACAGAGAGAGGAGAGAGAGAGATAAAAGAAGAGAGAGAGACACAGAGAGAGAAAGAGAGAGGGGAGAGCGACAAACACAGAGAGAGAGGAGAAGAGGAGAGAACAACAGGAGAGAGAGAGACGAGAGAGAAGAGGAGAGGGGAGAGGAAGAGAGGAGGAGAGAGAGAGAGAGAGAAAGAGAGGACGAGAAAGAAGAGGGAGAGGAGAGAGAGAAGGAGAAGAGAGGAGAGAGACAAAAAGAACAAAGAGAAGAGAGAGAAGAAGAGAGAGACACAGAGAGATGAAGAGAACGAAGAGCAGGAGACAAAGGACCAGAAGAGAGAGGAGAGAAGCGGGAGAAAAAGGGAGCACACAGAGAGAGGGACAGAGAAGAGGAGAGAGGAGAGCAGAGAGGAGCACAATGGGAAAACCCGGATAGAGAGAGAGAGACAAGAGATTTTCATGCTCAACCATTTCCAGTGTTGTATCAAGAATTGTCACCACCAAAGAAGGAAATCCGCAAACTGACAAACTGTGGGAAGCATGAGTCAACATGGCAGCCGGGTCCTCTCTAGGTTTCTCTAGGTCTCTGCCTCTTTCTAGGGAGTTTTTGCTACCACCCGTGTTTCTACATCTGCATTGCGTGCCTCTTTGGGGTTTAAGGCTGAGTTTCTGTATAACATCTTGTGTTTAAAAAGGGCTTATAAATCATTGATTTGATATATGTAGGTAAAGACCAGATTAAACTGAGAACAGTCTGATGGCGGTGAAAATATTATCAAGTGCTGTCAAATACTGTTGAATTAGAAATGATGAAGTGTGTGGCGCACAAGAAACAAAAATCAGAGCTATGCCTTTCATGCAACTTTTTTCAAAACATCTTAGTCGCAATCATGCAGCCTTAGAATTAAGAATGTATTACAAATCAAAACATAGAGCCTAACGTTTTGTATCACAACTAACATTGCCTAAATAACAAATTAAAGTTTTATAGAAGGACCTGTTTCTTTGGTAACTACTCAAACACAGAATAGCCGCATGGTGCGACACTCCCTGGGAAAATCATTTGGGGAAAATATCCTTTCTATTTTATTCAGCTATGTTCAATTGTATTGCTCTTACTATAAAATAAGCCACGGAAATTATAAGAAAATCTTGGCTGCTAACTGAACTAGTGTAGCCCACAGCCATATATGGCATAGCCAGATCAGGGCCTCCTACTACAAGCACGACTCGAATATGCCATTCTGTTCTTCTGAAATAAGTACTTTTCTTCACATCCTGTTTCTTTAAACCTGCCTTAAAATAAATAATGAGACTTTATGTTATGATGTAGGCATGACAATCACCGGCTGACAAAAATTAAGGACCGCCACTGCTACTCTGGCATGCTGCCTTCACGCTCTTAACCATACAGAGCCAGAGGAGGTAAACAAGGACAGGGCGAGGGCGGGGAGAGAGATATAGAGGGAGGATGGCAGTCGAAATGCAGAGGTCAGAAAAGTGTGATGTAGAGGTGAACTTCCATCACCCTCTTTGTTCTGAGAGAGCTCTGGACCGGTTTTCCTTTCTCTGCTGCGACCGGGGTCAAACCAAAACCTAGCACTTCCTTTGTACAGGTATCACATCGTTACTGAGCGATAAACTCCGGCTTCTACAGGACGATCCCATCTTATCACATAATCTGACATTATATATATTTTTTTCAATTTTCTTCCCTCATCGCGTTGTCTTTTACCACTACAGTATATCATCGGCATCATCAAGTGACGTCCCCAAACCACACACATCCACGAAAAGCATAAAACTTATGGAATGTTTCGACCAGCTCTCGCGCTCTAACGAACACTCATTCATCATTACAATTCAGACAAACTGCGTGAAAGAAAACACACTCACTAGACAGACAGAAGAGAGAGAGA